AGTTCATGGAATCTATGGTGTAAATTCATAAAAATGGTCCTTGAAATTAGCAACTTTGACTTCATCACTTATTAATTATTAATGTGTGCTCTGATATCACTGGTGTTTTGGGGATCATAATATAATAAAGCTTTGTTTTGAATCATAAGGTGTTATAGAAATTCAGACTTTGCAGGTTATAAAGCAGCGGTTGAAGACCTGGTCCTTGAAGCCAGATCCTAGATTTGAGTTCTTTTTCTGCCACACATGTTAATTGCACAGTTGTGGGCATGCCTCTTGACCTCTGTGAAGCCCAGGATTTCATTGCCTGGCACCTACTAAGTACTCGATAGATGCTATTTATATTTTTACTATATGGCATCTGATTTTAAGGCAAATCAGTTCCATAAAATCATACAAATAACCCTCTACTGCCTATCCTTCTTGGCAAGCATTAAGGGTAAGTGGTCTTGGGGATGTATTGTCAGGTGATGAATAACATAATTTATTATTTCTTATTTTTAATCTTGTAAAGAAGAAGAGAGTGACTTCTATATTGGAAATAAGTTACATTCAGTTTCTCTAAGGAGTAAAATAAAATTTTATGGCTGGGTGCGGTGGCTCACGCCTGTAATTCCAGCACTTTGGGAAGCTAAGGCAGGCGGATCACAAGATCAGGAGTTCGAGACCATCCTGACCAACATGGTGAGAACTGGTCTCTACTAAAAGTACCAAAATTAGCTGGGTATAGTGATGAGCACCTGTAATCCCAGCTACTCAGTAGGCTGAGGCAGAAGAATCACCTGAACCCAGGAGACAAAGGTTGCAGTGAGCTGAGATCTCACCACTGCACTCCAGGCTGGTGACAGAGCTGTTGACTCCATCTCTAAAAAAAAAAAAAAAAAAATTATAGTAATATATAAACTGTTAAAGAAACAACAAAAAACCCCCAAACCACATGCATTAACCTCTGTTTAGTACTAAGTGACCTTAGGAAAGAGTTTAGAGTAACAAACAAGTTATTATAATTTCCCTCAAAAATAAAATACTGAAGCAAGGTAAATCTGACATGTGCCTTTGGGAGGCTGAGGTGGGCAGATCACGAGGTTAGGAGTTCAAGACCAGCCTGCCCAACATGGAGAACCCCATCTCTACTAAAATATAAAAAAATTAGCTGGGTGTGGTGGTGCCTGCCTGTAATGCCAGCTACTTGGGAGGCTGAGGCAGGAAAATCACTTGAACCTGGGAGGCAGAAGTTGTGGTGAGCCGAGATTGTGCCAATGCACTGCAGCCTGAGCAACAAGAGTGAAACTCAGTCTCAAAAAAAAATAAATAAATAAAAATAAAAAATCTGACACATGCTTGCTGTGATGTCCGAACAAGCATTATTCCTTATATAGCCAACTGTGGCAAGTAATGACTGCGGTAAAGACAGTGGTGTGTGTGCAGGATAACATTTCAACTGCCCAGTTTTATAACACTGCTGAAGAGCAAAAATGCAGCTGGGTTTGGGGAAAGGTCTTAAATACATGGAAGGTTGGAATAGAAGGATCTTGTTTCACCAACAGGACATATTACTGAAGATAATTATTTAGGTTGCCATAAGAATTTACATAAATGTGTACTAAGAATTAATGTGAGGCAACTTTAGGAGTCTTAAAAAGATGTGAAATAATGATGGGTTATGTTTCATGACTCTTTAATATGGGAGGCATTAAGGAAAAATTATTAAATTATTGGTCAACAGCTCTCCCAAGTACAGCAGGGTGGTTTTTTTTTTTTTTTTTTTTTTTTTTTTGAGACGGAGTTTCGCTCTTGTTACCCAGGCTGGAGTGCAATGGCGTAATCTCGGCTCACCGCAACCTCCGCCTCCTGGGCTCAGGCAATTCTCCTGCCTCAGCCTCCCGAGTAGCTGGGATTACAGGCACGCACCACCGTGCCCAGCTAATTTTTTGTATTTTTAGTAGAGACGGGGTTTCACCATGTTGACCAGGATGGTCCCGATCTGCTGACCTCGTGATCCACCCGCCTCGGCCTCCCAAAGTGCTGGGATTACAGGCTTGAGCCACCGCGCCCGGCCAGCAGGGTGTTTTTAAGGCTCAGTGCCAATTCATAGTAGATTTGATAAAAGTTTTCTGATTTTTATCCAAAAAAATCTTTCAGATGTTACAAAAGATGAATTTTATTGTATTTTAAAAAATGAAATGATAAATATTTAATCAGTTTCAGAGTAGTGATGGAAGAAAATTCTACATTTGATATTAGTAGATATCACTCTTTTAAAATACAAGTACCTATTTTGTTTCTTTAGTCTCCCTCATTTCTTCCTCTTTGACCTGCCTCTTAAAGGAGAATTATTCCAACTTTTTCTTCTAAGCCTCTCCATCTTCCTCCTTTCCTTCTTTTTTTTTCTCTAATAATTATCTTGGCTTTGAACATTGGATTTGTGCTACGTATATTCAAGGCACCACTGGGTATACAGAATTAATGTCATGATCTCTGCCCTAGTTTTGGTGTGTTGGGAACAGAAAGGCAACAAAACTTGTAAAATGTGATAAAGTCTTTTTTTTTTTTTTTTTTTTTTTTTGAGACGGAGTTTTGCTCTTGTTACCCAGGCTGGAGTGCAATGGCGCGATCTCGGCTCACCGCAACCTCCGCCTCCTGGGTTCAGGCAATTCTCCTGCCTCAGCCTCCCAAGTAGCTGGGATTACAGGCACACACCACCGTGCCCAGCTAATTTTTTGTATTTTTAGTAGAGACGGGGTTTCACCATGTTGACCAGGATGGTCGATCTCTCGACCTCGTGATCCACCCGTCTCGGCCTCCCAAAGGATAAAGTCTTTATAGTGATTAGGAAAATGTGTTCTAGAAGCACAAAAGAGGTGCCATGTGAAGTTCCATGAAGGCTAAGTGAGTTAGTGGGGAGGAGGCATTTCAGGAAAGAAAAACTGCAAGAACTCAGGCATGGTACACGGAAGTGCATGGTATCTTGGGAGACCTGTTAGCCATTTTGTTGGTTTGAAATATTGAGTGTATGTTGGAATGTGCAACAGATGAGGCTGGATAAGTGGGGAGCTAATGATTTTATACTTTATCTTGCAGGTAGTGGAGAGTAACAGAGGTTTTTAAGCACTCAGTGGGTTATCTCATTTCTTTTGATGGCTTAAACCAGCATCCTTAAGTTAATTATTCCCAAATCTTTACCTGCAGTTCTGACTTTGTTCCTAAGCATCATAATTGCATTTTAAGGTGCTGACTTACTACTACACACATTATCCTGCTGTTACTCAAGCAAGTTCAGTTCAGAGAGATTTACTTTGTCCCTTTACATTGTTAGTCCACTTGGGCTCTTTTCTTTGTTTCATAATGGCAGCATTTCTCCAAATCAACTGGGCTGAACATCTTAATGCCATCTTCAGCTTCCTTACTTCAGTTTCCCCATAGTCGTTTGTTTACCAGAACCCACCACTTCTGCTGCCAAGCACTTCATGCCCATTTCCCTATTTCTTTTTCTACTGCTAATGCCACATGGCTTAAACTCCTATCCTTTTTCATCTGTACTTTTGCAATGGCCTTTTAATAACCTAGTTATTTTCTCTTTTACTTCTAATCCACTGTGCATAATTGGACCAGAATTTTCTTCCTATAATATGGATTTCCTGACATAATTTTTAATCTTTTTCACTTTTCCTTCTTTTTGCAATATCCTTCCTAATAAATATTGCTTGTCAGAAATCATCACTCTTTGTAATGCCATGCTTTAAAAAATCTCTTGATAACATATCTTGCCTTGTATTAAAATAGACTTTATTTTTAAAAATACTTATACATTTTTGGAAGACAGAGTATATTAGTCACTTATTGCTATATAACAAATTAACATTTAGCAGCTTAAAATGATTTGCATTCATTATTTCACAGTGTCACTGAGTCAGAAATCCAGGGTGCATCCTAACTGTACTCTCTTGTGTAAGATTTTTCACAAGGCTGCAATCAAGATATCAGCGGAGGGTACCATCATAATAAGGTTCAAGTGGGGTACCGTCATAAAAAGGTTCAATCTGCTTTTCAGCCCACTCAGTGGTTGTTGCAAGGTTTAGTTTCTTCCCAGTTATTGGACAGAAGGTGTCAGTTTCTCACTAGCTGTTGGCCAAAGGCTTCCCTCAGTTACTTACCATACATATTTGTTTCTTCATGGGACAATTTACAACGTGAGAGCATGCTTCATCAAATGGAGAGTGGGGAGAGTCCCTGTCTTTTATAACCTAATCTTGGAAATGACATCCCATCATTCTGCCATATTCTATTTGTCAAAAGGATGCCACTATGTCCAGCCCACGTTCAAGGAGAGTAAATAATTATACGAGGATGTAAGCAGCAGGCAGCTGACTATCACACAGAAAGAACATCTACAATTTTACTTCTGACCTTTGTAACTAATGCCTTATGCAACGAGTGTTTAAAAATTTTTACTGATTGTATTGAAAGGTATTGTTGCTTGTTGTAATTCAGATTTACACTAGCATTAATTATTTTATTAATATCTATATTTGGTTAAAATTAGGTGACCCCTTTGAAATTTTTTATGTAATATAGAATGAGAAAAAATATGAAATGGTACTAAAGAGTTTGATCAGTTGGGGGTTCAGTACATGAATGCCATTCAATCATTTGGCAAAAATGATGACAACATACTGAAGAGGAAGGGAGAGTAACATGATAGAAATTATCCCCATTATCTTTTTTTTTTCCTGAATTTCACTTGAAATCAACAACACAAATATATACTAAAATTCAGTTCTAGGTAATTTCTAAATTTGTTAATATTTTAGATTTCTTAATTTTCTCCAGTTAGATGTTTATTCAAACATTTTAGCATTTAAGTTGTTGGTCAAGTTTGAAGTGACTTTCGTTGTAAAGATGTATAGATTTGAAGCAATGATAGTTTTAAAATTTGTTTATAAATATAAAATATTCCAAAAAATATACTTTGCCTACATTAGTTTTAAATAGCTAACTTTATACTTCCCTGGCATGGGAGATACCATGATCATGAAGGTGGTTTTCCCAGGGTGAGGCTTATCCATTGCACTCCGGATGTGCTGACCCCTGTGATTTCTCCACATGTGGGAAACTCGACGGCATAATTTGTGGTAGTAGAGGACTGCATTCTCTCTTTCCCTTGGTTTTAAAATAAAAAAAAAAAGATAATAAAAGTTAAATAGCTAACTTTTTATATCATCTTTATAAGCAAAGGAATATTTTGATAGTTATTAAGGCCTAACATTCAGGGACTATGATTGTATTATAGCTATTTTATTTTTTAATTCAAAAATATTACACTTTTGACTCTAATAAATGATTTTATATGGCTTTTTACAGTTATAAACAGATTAAAAGAACATAATGTAAAAAGTGAAAAGTTGTGTTAGAAATATTCCTGGTTTAGCTTAAGGTTTTATTCATTAGTTGGATCAAAATAACTTCAGCTTTATCTTTTTATGTGTATGTGATCTATTTTTGATACGTTTGAGATAGAATAAAACTCAAGTTTACAGGAGCAGCCAAATAATTGTACTTTGAATTTATAAAATCATTTCTTTTTAAAGTGACAGTAATGAAGCATTTGCATTTGAGCCTAGCAACACGTGAATTTGAAAGTTTGCTAAATAAATATAATTGTGAATTAAATAACAAGAAAGATATTATTATTTTAAAAATCATTACTGAAACCATTACATATGAATTTTAAAGTTTTTTTTTCGGAGAATCAACTTTTTTCAGATCCTTATAAGTTTGTTTAGATATTACCTTTTATAAACTTGTCTCATTCTCAGGTGTGGTTTTTTTAATATATATTTCAATTTTGCTAAGGACTACGTTATTAAGTTCTATAACCAGGCCTTGTTATGTATTTACATTGCATACCCCTTTCTCAAGTCAAGCCCATTTGGAATTTAAGAATTTGAAAGGTAGTGTAAAAATGAATTTAAAATTTAGTTTCGATCATTTAATTTTACCACATTTCCAACTGCTATAGTCTCCAAAATGAGAGATCAAGCACAATGCATATATAAACTCAATTTATTGTTTTTTTTCAGGAAAGTAAAACCTTTTCTAAATGTTAATGATGGCTTATGTGATGGTTAATATTGAATGTCAACATGATTGGATTTAAAGATGCAAAATATTGATCCTGGGTGTGTCGGTGAGGGTGCTGCCAAAGGAGATTAACATTTGAGTCAGAGGACTGGAGAGGCAGACCCATTCTCAGGTTGGGTGGGCACCATCTAGTAGTTGCCAGCACAACTGGGATAAAAGCAGGCAAAGGAATGTGGAAGGACTGTACTGGCTGAGTCCTCCAGACTACATCTTTCTCCTATGCTGGATTCTTCTTGCTTTCGAACATTGGATTCCAAGTTCTTCAGCTTTTGAACTCTTGAACCTTTGACCACAGACTGAAGGCTGCACTGCCAACTTCCCTACTTTTCAGGTTTTGGGACTCAGACTGATTTCCTTGCTCCTCAGCTTGCAGACAACCTATCATGGAACTTCACCTTATCATTATGTTAGTAAATATTCCTTAATAAACTCCCCTTCATATATACATCTATCTTATTTGTTCTGTCCCTCCAGAGAACCCTGACTGATATAGCTTGGTTATTAATTTGTTCAATACTGGCTTTAAGGATATTCTTTTATCATAGAGTACATTTTTATGAACAATAGAAAATAATAATATTAAATATCTTCTTATTTTATTATTCCAAAAACCAAGATCATTAAAATTATTATAAAAAATGAATATCCACAAAAATCCATGTTGATTTTCTGCAAACTGATAGTAAAATTTAGTTATTCAACTTGATGAAATTAGCTAAAATATAGGGAATGAAATGGGCACAAGTGTCTGTAAGCATGATAAATATCATCCATGTGCAGTGATGAAAATGTCCTAGGGGCCAGTGATATAAGGTGCCAAGCTGTTGAAGATAGTCCTAGATATTACTTTTTCCAGTGGCCTGTCCCCCAACACTCCCCTTCAAACAAAGAACTTAGTCTGAAGCTGAAATATTCACTGGGAAATTTTTAATGTTTCACAAATAGATGATGTATTAGTCTGTTCTCACACTGCTAATAAAGTTATACCAGAGACTAGGTAATTTATAAAGGAAAATTGTTTTATTGATCACAGTTCCCCATGGCTGGGGATGCCTTACGATCATGGCAGAAGGTGAAGGGAAAGCAAGACACGTCCTACATGGTGGCAGGCAAGAGAGACTGTTCAGAGGAACTCCCATTTATAAAACCATCAGATCATGTGAGACTTAATCACTGCTATGAGAACAGTATTAGGGAAACTACCCCCATGATTCAGTTATTTCCACCTGGCCCCACCCTTGACACATGGGAATTATTACAATTCAAAGTGGTATTTGGATGGGGACACAGCCAAACCATGTCACATGATGTTACTGTTCATTAATGATCAGTACATATGTATGATGCTTTCTCTTATGTTATTTGTCCCTTGAATTAAGCATACAAACAGTAGCAGTTTCTTTGGGGAAACTTACTGACTACATTTTCAATTTTTCATGACTTGTTTGTAAAACACAGATTTAGGTATAATGCAGAAAAGCTTTTTTGTCTTGTTCTCTGGTGCCCCACTGGGAACACTAGACATGTACTCAGCTATTACTAAAATAGTATTTTGTTTTGTTTCAGGATTTTTCTCCCTGTACACAGCTTTCAGATGGAATTCCTCATGCATTGTGGTGAGTGGTAAGACACAAACCTTCAATCTCTATATGCTTCAAGTAAGCCTTAAAGGCAAAAAAAATGTTCTGCATAAAGGTAGAAGAATGATGATTTGGAATCTGTATAGTGTAGAAATAGGAGAATGTTGAACCTGCTTCTCTCCTAGGCCTGTGGTACTTTTGGTACTGGAATTAGGCAGTCACTACCAATGATTGCTGCAAAAGAAACAAGGGTGTTGGGTGAATAAATATTTTGGTACAGAAATGCAAACAATAGGTGGTTTATCTCAAATAAAACCTGTAGATCACCCGCCCAACTTTGTTAGCTTGGTAGGAAGTTAGTTATAATTACAATTACAGTCTAAGACATATTTTCTAGTTATTAACATATTCCATATCATCTTAATAGCATTATTCCAAAACCAAGATCATATCATTAGTTTAAACCTATTCTATGCAGTGACTACTCAGAAAAAGTAAATAGTATCTTCTCTTAATGGATATATGTTCTTTTGCACCATAGATTGTCTTTACAATAGTAACCTGGTAGTAATTTGACTTTCAAAATTGAACTGCTCCTGATAAATCTCTTAAAAAGTATTTTTTATATGTAGTAAAATGTTTAAGAAACATTGAAAAAAGTTAGAACAAAAAGATAAAATGAGAAACAGAATATGAAATAAATTAGTTTAAGACCTTGGTATTATACCAAGGTCAGGAAGACAGTTCAGTAGAATTCAAATTATTACTTTATTGCTGTTCTTTACTTTGGGGAAGATGTATGTATATTTAACAAGTTGCATATATAGTGCCAAACAAATGTCTTCAAATTTAAGAACAGTGCCCATGGGTGGAAAATCAGCCTAACAAGAAAGAAAGAAATAGTAATATTTTTAATGCAAGAAAACTTAAAAGGAAGGAGTTATGTCCTTGTATAAGAGTATATATGTGTGCTTACGTATTTATATATATGAAGTATATTGATATATGAACATACTTAGCTACAACATAGCTGATATTCTAACAGTAAAATACTAAACTGTGATTTTATGTATGTTTCTTTTTAGTAAACAAAGAGGATTAAGGGAAATATAAAAATTAATGCAATGAAAAAATATGTATTTGCTTTCTGCATGTATAAAAATGTAAAAAGACAAAATAAGGAAGGAACAAAAAGATTTGCAGCATGGCAAAAAATGACCACGAAATCACATTTGTCTTCTCTGCAACTGGCCTGGTCTGACTGTACTTCAAAATTGTACTGGGCATTCTGGCATCATTTTTATGAAGGTAAAAGTTGGATAACTTGGCATCCCAAAGGAATTTAATTTAATAATTGGCTTTACATGTGAATATACCCTCAGTTTCATCATATTTATGAAAGGAGAAAGACAAACTTGACTTAAAAATGTGGCTGTCCTTATTTAAAATTACTTAGCCTATGGAATAAATAAATTGTAGTGGACAGAATTTAAGATTGCACTCATGGTCCCTGACTACTGGTTTTCCTGTCCTTACACGACTCTCTCCCCTAAAGCATGGGTGGTAAATATGACTTGCATCTAAGCTCTAACATAAGCAAAGGAGATGAGATATATGTAATTATGTATATGCAGTTACATGATTATGTGGCATAAGATGAAGTGTCATCTTGCTGGAGTCTCTCACTCTCTTGTTGACTGTGAAGATGGAAATTGCCATGGGGTGGGCTGCCTGTGTTGGGAGACCCATAGAGGAAAGAACTGAGGGAGCCTATAAGCTGATGGTAGCCTCTGTCCAATGGTCAGCAAGAAACGAAGCCCTCAGTCCTGCAGCTGCCATCTTCTACCATGTGTTCCGTCTAACATGAGTGGAACTAATATTTTTACAAAATAAAAGCTGAAATACATGTTTCCATATAAATCTCCTCTTAAAGATAAAATGAAGTAGTGGAAGGATATTTGAAGGTAGTGGTGCTAAAAGGTGGTGCCAATAGAAAGGACAAATTGTAAGGGAACAAAAATCTCTTTCAGTTGTTAAAAGAATAATAATATGAATGTGATCAATTAGCAGATTAAGCTGATAATGGAATAATAAGCAAGACAGTATTAATAGTAGAGTTAGGATTGTACCCCATCATTACTTGGACCCAAACCAACTCTATCAATGTGGTTCAGGATGAGACTTCTGTTATCTTCTGTCTGTCCTGTTTATTTAGGAACCAGTTTAACTCAGTCTAATAGTAGGCATTGGAGATTGAGGTTTGGAAATAAGTTGTTGGTATTCCGTAGCCAAGGCTAAAGCTTTTGGAATGTTTTTGATGCCGGCAATGCTATTGCATGGTTGGCTCTTTAAGTGCTACCTGTGAAGGTCAGTTTGCTTGACTGTGTGGGCCTGGGTCTGTGGTGTAACTGGGGCTTCACAACTCTCTATTCTGTGTCTCTAA